GGTTAGATTGACCTTAGACAACTTCTTAGGTGAGTCAATCTGATGTCTCGTTAATCCAAGTTTAGTCATAAATTATTTATATCAAATGGCAGGCGTTATGAATGGGGAAGGAATGTCAAAGTGAAAAAGGCGAGAGGTTGGGGGAGGAGGGGACAGAAGTGTTTCAAAGATGTTAAAGAAACAGGCACAAAGGCAGAAAAAGGTGAGGTGATTACTGTGGAAGTAGTGGAATATGACACAGTGGGGTGAGGGTAGTTAGAAGTGAGAAGTCAACTGTCGGTTAATAGACTTTTTTTGCCGTATGAGCATACGTTTCTCAGGGTGCACCACGTGTAGGTAAGTCTATTACTCACCCCATTTAGTCATAAATCACTTTCGGCATCCACTCCTCCTAGAGAGATATGTAGAACTTGTTCCTAGGGGCCTCGATCAAGTTGGCTTAGGAACTTAAATTCGGAGTTATAAAAATAGAAGGTAGATCAAATGGTCATTAAAATACCATGGGAATAAACCTAAACGTTCTTTAAAGCATTGTGTTGTAGGTTATATCTTGAAGAAGGTAAATATTTTGCTGTCTGCTTGAGAAATTTCCATAAGGCTCTCCTTTGATGAGTTTTTAATAAATTGTTAAGTAGAATTTGAGCCTGCTATCTAATTCACTGGAATTAATACTACAGGTGTGGCTTGTTCCTATTCACACAATTGGCAGTATCAACAACTTTTTTATTTACTATTATAATAGTTATGGGAAGCATTCCATTTCATCAATCTTGATAATTATTGTACCTATATTTTGTTCAATTTCGATCTAGTATTTGGTAACGTTTCTCATGCGCCTCTCAAGGAAATTGATAATTTTGTTGTACTCCCTCTGTACGGATACCTCTGAGCGGTCAGTTTGACGAAACTGATACACTATATCATTTCTCCCTTCAGCTCTGGTGCCATCTCTGATCAAGAGTCTGCATGACCCACTCACCGACAAGGGAGTCTGTCTACTGACTCTTCGAGACACCTGCTTCACTCATGTTGTTGACGCTGCTAGTCTTGCTCTCATTATGCCCGTGCTGCATCGGGCTTTCAATGATCGTTCTACTTTGATTCGCAAAGCCGCTGCTCAAATCTTTGGCACACTTTACAGCCTGGCTCGCCGCGAAGACTTGGAGCCGTATATTGATGAAGTGTTGCCTGGTCTGAGGGCTTGTCTTCTGGATCCTGTTCCGGAAGTGCGATCGATCACTGCTCGTGCCCTTGGAGCTATGGTTAGGGGTATTGGAGAAGCCTGCTCTAAGGTATGTTCACTGATTTTTAATCTCTGGTCTGATTTTGATGAATCAGCTATTATAGACTTATTCTTTAATTAAATTGAACTTTTAGTTAAGAGTCCATTAGCTCGTTTTAAAATGAAATATGACGAAATGAATAAGATAAAAGTTCACAAATGATTTTATTAAATCTACTTAAGTTCGAAACAAATCCTGAATTTAAATGCAATTTTTAATATACGCATTTATTGTATCGAATTCCAAAATATTGATTTCACCTCGACGTAGGACGTAGACTATGAGATTATAAAGATGATTTTCAGTGAACAGACCTGCTTAGTTAAGGCATGAATCAATTAGCTGCTTTGATGCATGCGTTCTATAATCAATTAACTATTTATTATTGTGCTTTAGGAAGTGTGGAAGTGGTATGTTTTCTAACTTCCTAGCTGAACTTTTAGTCTTAATAAATAAATGTTCGCTCCATTCATTGGATAATGCGTATTGGTACCTATTCTTAACAATTGTTCATTGGGCAACGAGACCAACTAAATAATGAATCAGATTATTCACCACCAACACTGACAGTTGTAATCACCTGAATGTGTTTGAATATCTTGCACAAGATTACGCTATAAGTATATTAATATGTATGTTTTCTTGATAATTACCACTACGTAGTATGTACATACCTTCATTACGCGAATGGCTGTGTTTTAACCTTAAAATTTTCATGATATTGGTTCATGTAAGACGTGATTTGTTTTCTAATAGGACTTGCTACCATGGTTGATGAGGACTCTAACTTCAGACCAATCATCCGTGGATCGATCAGGTGCAGCACAAGGTCTTGCCGAAGTGCTTGGTGGTATGGGATTGGCCCGATTGGAGTCCATTTTGCCTGAATTCATTCACTCCGCTGAGAATCTTTCCGTTCAACCTCATGCTCGTGATGGCTATCTCATGCTCTTCATCTATCTTCCTGAAGTCTTCCGCAGCGATTTCTCTCCATTCATCACCATGGTGCTTTCTCCTATTCTCAAGGTAGGGTTTTGTGTCAGTGTTTCTGCAGTTCGCTTTTTCTCTAATAGCCTTGGTTGCTACTTCAACGATCGTGCCTTAATATTTTGAATACTCACGCTTGGATGTCTTTTTCAGTTGTATCACAATTAGAATATTTGAAAAAAACAAGAGTTGGGATGGTTTAATATGACCGAAATCACAAGTACGTAGTTTATTAATGAATAAAGTAATAGTATTTGTGAAGGTACAGCCTTGCGGACGACTCTATTACACATTTATTTTCATTGTAAAATTCGAATAAGACTTTAGTAAGTCATAACTAACGCCGCTCGTGCGAGTTTGGGTGATGTTAATATGAATGAAAGTTGAGTGTAATTTGGTTGCAGAAATATGCAAGTACAGATACAATCACATGGTAGATAAAATAAACGCATTCTGGTTCCAAATAAAAGTATAAGTTAAACGAATGGCATGGATGGAACATGTTGGAGGTGGTGGTGAAATCACACTAGTTTATTTATTAAATATGAGGAATATTAGAAAGTGTATTGATAAAGCGCTATGAATTGATGTCGATCAGTTCAAATCCAGTAATGTAGATATCTATTCACACCAGTTAATTCTGGTTATCATGAAGTGATGGTTGAATGCGAGTTTCTAACCAGAGCGACTCTCTTTCCTCTATTCAAGTCAAGTTCTGTTAGCACTTTTCATTGATGACTTTGAATATTTATACATTGACCTCATTCGTCTTCAATTCCCGGTGTCTTTGTTGTGCTTGAAAGCCGCGGAAAAGATTGGTTTCAGGTGTTTCACTATACTCCATAATTTCATGATATTTTGAGTTGACTAATTTCGATTGAGGTTTACACTTGTATGCTTTATTTTTAGGCATTCGCCGATGAGTGCGAATACTTGCGAGATACAGCTCTCAAAGCAGGTCAACGTATTATCGATCTGTTTGCCGACCAGGCTGTGGAAATTCTGCTGCCTGAACTGGAGAGTGGTCTGCTTTCTACGGATTGGCGTATTCGGTACCCTTCGCTGCAGCTTATCAGTGATTTATTATGCAAACTCTCTGGCATCTCTGGCAAGGGAACAACTAAGGTTCGAGGCATTGTGAATTTGGACTTTTTACTATTTATCTACATATCTTATTAACAGTATGGCTATTAGTTTTCATTCATCGCGAGTTACTTCAATTTCTTTGTGAAGTAACCCAAACTAATTGTAATTCGCGGTCATTTACAGGATGTATTTTCAGAAATCACAAAATATTGGGACATTGATAACTTTTGCTATTATTTTTCTAAGTAACCATACTGCAAAGACTTCAGTAAACTGTGCCAGTTAGATAATTTCCCTAAGGCTGTGCTTCGACTATTCTATGAACCTTGCGTCAACCAATTTAATATTCCAGAACTTATCTCTGGGCCTTCACTTTGAAGATTCGATTTATGCAGGGTTTTGTATTTTTTTAAATATTTTCATTCTCAGTACTTTAAAATTTTATATATCAGTAGAGACAAAAACTTATTATCAACTTATAGAAAGAAGCATTTGTAAAACACAAAACATGAGTTTATACTTGAAAGTTGGTTCATATGCAAGCGATCTCCGGCATTTCCTTCAACCACTAGAACCATTACAAAGCATCTTTGCACAAGAATTGCCTGTCACAGAAAAATATTACAAGTTGTGACATCTCTGGCATTTCGAAATTAGTTATGGCTAAAGCATGCACTCAAGTAATTAAAAATTTAAGAGGAATGACTTAGTCTGATGCATTAATAATTCTATTAAATGTCCTCAAGTTTTCAAGTCAAGGTAAGTTGGATTGTATTTCTTGGGTCTGAGCCTATGGTATAGAGGTGCTAAGGAGCATAATTAAATTGGCAGACCACAGCGATCGGGTTGAAAAGAAATTGAAACATTGAAGCAAAAATATACAGTGAGGCTCTATGCCGTAAGACTTACGGAGTGGGATGCACTAACTCTAAATACACTGAGCATAAAATCACCGTTTAGGGAACTATTTACTTGAGCGTCTCCTTTTCCTTTCTAGACCATGGATGAAGACGACACCTTCGGTACGGACGTGGCCAACGAGAAGATTATCCAAGCCCTTGGTTTGGATCGGCGTAACCGCGTCCTGGCCCGCTTGCATATTGCTCGTTCTGATCCAACCTACACAGTGCGTAATGCCGCCAGTCACGTGTGGAAGATTGTGGTTGTCAACACCCCCCGAACTCTTCGTGAACTCATGCCTGTCCTCGTGGAAATTCTGCTTTCCACACTGGGCTCAACTCTTCGAGAACATCAGCAGGTGGCTTGCCGCGCTCTAGGTGATTTGGTGAAGAAATTGGGTGAGAGAGTGCTCCCCGAAGTTATTCCACACTTGGAAGAGGGTCTCAATTCCCCGGATGATAATAGACGTCGTGGTGTCTGCAACGGTCTCATTGAGATTATGAGTAACTGCCAATCCGAACAAGTAATATTCAGTAGTGTATATTATGCAATTTTATTACGTATGGCTATGGCTTGGGAGTGTTGGAAGGAGAAGTCTAGCTAAATGGCAGAATAACCAAGGTTGGGCTTTGAAGTCATCATTCGTCTGACCCAATGCTTGTATATTTTGCTGATTCTTGACATGCATATAGAGAAAAATTTATAACTAGCACTTTGTAATTGCCTATAGCGATTAAGAGCGAAATCTATTGTTGATGATTGATTAAGAGGTACATGGAGCGAATCTTGAGCTTACCGGAGTTTATATTTTTTTCATTTTGCTTAGATTGCGCAATTCTCCGATCGCTTCACCTCTCCAATTCGTAGAAGCCTGACTGATTCCTCAGCTGAAGTTCGTACTGCAGGTGCTCGCGCTTTCGATCTCCTCTATTCCGGTATTCATCTGCGAGCCGTGGACGAGATCCTCCCTGACCTCTTCCTCAAGCTGGAGGAACCGCAAAGTCGTGATTACGCTCTTGACGGTATCCGTCAAATTCTAGCCCTTCGTGGCCGCGCCGTCATGCCTTACCTCATTCCCAGACTCACTCAACCTAAACTTGATGCCAAAACCTTCGCCTTCTTGGCTCCCATTGCTGGTGACAGTCTCACTCGCCACCTCAACCGAATCCTCCCGGCATTCCTCGAGACCGCAGCTAAGGTGGATGTGGCGGATAAGGAGAACAGCGATTTGAGGGCATGTAGTGTTATTCTCGCTTCAATTAGCGATGCCTCTGCTGTGCGAAGCATTCTCCAAGAGCTTATCAATGGTCTCTCGTTGAATGACTCCAACGCTACTCAAATGGACTTTGTCAGCTTAAAGCCAAACTCTCAAGAGTATTGCTATGCCTGTTTGCGTATTCTCCATGTCTATATGGAGGCATTCTTGATAGATGAAGTGGATGAAGTAGAGCAGGTGGTTTCTATTGTGAAACCTGTTAGACGAGGAGTTGGAAAACCGACGGCAGCCAATCTTGATGATGAAAGTGATAGTGAAGACGAGGAGGATGGCACAGAAGATTATAGCGACGATGATACGACTGATTCAGACGAGGAAGACGAAAATGACATCATTTCGGACGAAAACGACGATGACAGTGATAACTTTATGCATCATCATGAAAGGAACTCGAAGGAAGCTTTGCGAAGATTTCTCCCTGACTACTATCCACCCCTGTTAAGAAATATTTCGAAGTTGCTGGCTATGAAGGACCTGCCGCTAATGACTTATGCTTGGGTTTGCTTGGAAGCGATTCTAAAAGTATGTCGTGAGTTTTTTTGCTGCAGTCATTTAAATATGTCTAATATTGGATGCATTTACCGTTATTCGCTATCTTTGGAGGCTGTTGTTTATGTATCTTAACTAATGCATTCTTTGGAGAAATTAGAAGGCACTGGGCTTATTTCTGTAGCGATTGCTTAGGTGAATCGTGCTTGCAGTGGTTGATAAAAAAATAAGTAAGATACGAGACAAATAGACTTATTGGGTCATGACCTCGTTAGTGCTTTAGGCAATGAAGGTTAAGCCTTTGCCATGATAGACCCCTTTCATACTACTGAATGAATTTCCTTTGGGCGACATAACTCCTACTTTAATTTAATCTTTTTCCCATTTCTAGTACTGGTCAGCTAATAATGTAACTGGTGCCAATGTTTCTGAGCTACAAAAGGCATTGAAAGCAGCTACAGTGGATTTTGTGAGCAACCAAATGCGAATGAGGCGAGAACATGTTCAAGAGATGACCACCGGAAAGGAGGTCTTATTACCAGGATTCGCCGAGACCAAAATGCCCCTACCCTCATTGGTTCGTTTCTATGCCGATTGTATAATGCAGGGTAATCCAGATACTAAGGAACCTGCAGCACAAGGTCTCACTGAATGCGTTACCCTATCAAGTGGCGAGGCCATCAAACCTTGTGTTGTCAAAGTCCTCGGTCCTATGATTCGTCTTCTTGGTGAACGGCAACCCACTGTTGTTCGAGCAGCTGTTACAGAAAGCCTGGCCACATTGGTTGCAAAGTGTCCTGATTCTACTCGTCCTTTCTCACCACAACTCCTGGCTACATTCACAAAAGTGCTCGGTGATCCGATTAAGGAGATTCGGCTGGTGGGTGGAAAGGGCTTGGCTAACGTGCTCGCTAACTCGCCCAAATTGGATTCTGTCTTGGTGGATATTTGTGTGGTGCTTGCTGCTGCCTGCAACGTTACCATCGATAATCCACCCCCAGTTAGATCGCTAGGATTGCAGCAGCAGCCTCTTAATACTGCCGCTGTTAACGCGTGAGGAGTATTCTCATTGTTATTTCCTTTATTTTACTGCCATGTACCCTAAATGAACTTTGGAAAATCGTTTGATTCTATCTTTTTTTGTTTACACAGGGATACTGTGCTCCAATGCTTGAGAAATTGTCTCTCCAAGTCTCTGGGCAAGCCAAAATTGGATACTCTTCGTATTATTATCGATTATATGGTTCCTCTTGGTCGTAAAGTAGACGGCCTGAGTTCGACTAAACTCGACAATAATGTTGCCTTGGCTGATGTGCGAAAGTCCGCAAACGCCTGTCTTGGAGCTGCTATTGCGTCGGCTTCTGCGAATGCTGCTATAACGGAAGAGGATCTTCTTAAATTAATGCCATGGTGTGAAGCTTCTGATTCTGGTAAGCTCCGTTTCGAATGGGTGTTCCACATGTTACCTGAGTATCGTAACCATGTTGTTACGCACTGCTGATACTGTGGGTAGCATGCCCCAATTTATCGACTTAATGCTTAGGCAATGCGCTGAGGAGGAATAGCTTACAAATCTAAGGTTTGGGGGGGGGGGGGGTAAAACGGCGGTGAGAAAGGTATATTGGGGAAATTCAGACGAGATTAAAGAATGCGAGAATTAGATGTTAAAAGTCGTTGGACTGTTAATGGATGAAGATTGACTCTCAGAAAAGAATGAAAAGAGCTTAATTGAATGCATCCTTCACGTTACATCAGGTACCGCAAAATACACATGCATGCTTCCAACAATGTTTCCACATGAAGATTATCTGTTGCAAGTTAGATATTTGGACTCGGAATTTTGCCTTGTTTTTGGATTGATGACCGCAAGCCTATGTCGTCTTCATGATGGTTTATAGCACTTTGATATCTGACTGCTGGTTTTAAATGCAGCCAGATTTTATAATTCTGCATGACGTAGTCGCATTAGACTTTTATTTTGTGCCAAGGAAGGATTGCTATTGGTTAGCAGTTATTGAGAATTCGAAATAGTGGGCGAATGCTGATAGCAAGATTTAGTGATCGTTTGATATTATTTAAACCACTTTCCGCACACTTGATTGTTCCATAAAGATGTAATTACTTTTTCAGACTCTCCGGTTCTTCTGCAAGCCCACGCACAGGCTATAATGGTGGCTTTTTTGATTTCGCCCGTATCTATGCTTCAAAGCAAATTCGAGACCGTTTTCGAGAAAAGCCGATCCATCGTTGTACAATGTTGCGATAGCGCAGATGTAAGTTTAAATTATGTAAAAATTCACAGTCGACTGAAATGACACAATTTTATTCGGTCCTAAATTCACCTTCAAAGTGAAAATGCATTCCGTGCTTTATTTGCATGGGGTGTGTTTCCTAGGGAGCTTTTAATTCAACTATTGCTGCTCATTCTCTATTTCAGAAGGATGTTCGTTCAGCAGGATTCAGGGCGCTTGGTTTCCTTATCAACGCTGCTTTTGTGGTTTCAAATGACTCAGGAGAAAAACTTCTTAGTTTGATCAAGCTCGTTGAAAAGGTATGTTTGGGCAACAACCTATTAAAACCAACTTTTGATTTTCTATAAACTACCGTTTTCTTAAAGGCTCTGAAAAAGGGTGGTCCAGACGATAGAATCATCCTTTCAAACGTCATCTGTTGCATAGGAAGTCGTATCAGTCTCCGCAGTGTCTTGAAGGCGGCTAAAGGCTCCACTTCACCTTCCTGGGTTCCTCAACTTCTCACTGCCCTCTGCACCACCTCTAAGGACAAAATTACTGATGTCTGTGTTGCTGTTGAAGATGCGATAGTCGCACTCTGTCAACTGGGCATTTCAAATAGTGAAAAGAATGATATCACTAATGTGGGTTGTCACTGATCATTTTTTTCATGCTTTTAAAGAGTATGCTTATTAACTTGTGTCCTTCTCTCACTACAGGCAATCAGTTCACAAATGGCTGCAAAAGATAAGGCTATCTTTGAGGAGACACTGAGCCGCATAAACAAGAGAGGTGTGAATGCTATCTTTGCTCAGGAGACGAGAATGATTGACGATACGGAGATCTACCTGCCTCCCTTGTATAACTCAATTTTCTAAGTGTGATTTTGTCCGGTCTGTTTTGCCGCTGTACGAATGACAGTCTGTGCTTCCCATTTGCCTTCTCTCCCCCTCCGCTCACTGATATGTGTATTAGGTTTTTTTCTTGTCCTATTGTGCAGCTTCACTACCCCTCCCCACCACCACCACCGTCCTCTTTCTCTCCGTTCGCCATTCATCCCTATTCAATTGAAATTTGAAAAATGCAGTTTATTATTGCTATTCACAATAGGTGGTAACAATTTCGTTTATGCTTATTGTTGAACAACTAACTAAGGCTGCAATATTTAACGGAACTTGTTGGATGTAAACTAGAGCATCAAGTTGAAAAAAACTGCTTAAGCTACTATCAAAACAAGATTTACCACTGTGCGGCAGTGTCTTGTCAATTTTAAATACTTATCTTAATACTTATTTATATCAGATGGCAGGCGTTTTGATATCATTAGCTCTTTAGTAGACTTCGGACTTCACAGAGGGGAGTAACATCATAGTGGGAAAAATTCGAGAGAGGAGCAGGAAGAGTGATTCACAGATGTAAGGAGGCAGATGGACTCATTGGGTGGGCATCAAAGAAGAAATTGACACAGTTATGCATTTACCCTCCGTTCCACACTCTTCTCGGCCCTTGTCGACATTCACTCGGACGCTATTTTCGCCTTTACTAAATCGAGCCGTTCTTGTTTCGTGGGATTGCAATCCCACAATAATCTGGGACCATGAACAAGCTGTATTAACAAAACAGAAATGAACAAAACTGTGAATCAATCAAGGTCACAACGTTACCGACCGCACATTTTTGATAAAATAATGTAGTCTATTCTGAACTAGTTGGCTGGGGGTATTTTTCGATGCCAGTTCACTCATTTTCTGATTCCCTTCAAGAAAAAAGTAATGTAAGTCGCTCACATTTGACTCTAAGACTTGCTAGTGCCCAACACCTCACTCTTTAAATTTTCCCATGCAAAATAAAAATTCCTATTGAGCATATTTCAGATTTTAGACAAACAATCGCAAACAACCTCTAAACCAAAACTATAAACAAAAGAAACAGACCAAACCTCGAAAATATACATTTAATTAAAAGAATTGTACAAGGTGATTTGCCCTATTCATTAAAATCACACTAATTATAAAAGACATTCATTAAATAAAGCACTGAAGTTGATTGAAGATTGAATCAATTGAGTAATTTATAATTAATGATTGTAATGATGATGACGAGAAATTAATGAATGCCCTTCGCGGCAGCCTTGGCTTTTGCTTCATCGATCACCTCCTTCAAGGGACGGTTTCTGCTGCTCCCCTTGAATTGAAGATGTGGCCTTGCCCACTCCACTTTTTCAACCCAATCAGGAAGAAGAGTTAGGAGACTTTCCAGACGAGAATTAGCTTCCTCTAGAAAAAAAACATTCATGACTACTACTGACTACTAAATAAGTAGATTAATACGACTAACTAAAAATTGATCACACAGTAAAAGCTATCATGAACAAACAGGAATTAAGAGAAACGTCTAGAGAGGTGAATTCAAAGAGAGTGAGTTTTTTAATAAAGCGGTCAACAAAAAACAACTTCCACTTTCTTAAGGAGATTTGCAGTTGGAGAGTAAAAAGGACAACACTCGTCATTTGAGGATAATCTTTGCGCAAAGCTCTCATGGGATGTCACCAAGACATGAAATTCAATTCGAGCTAAGTAACAAAATGTACCGGCTATATTCCACCTTGCGTAAATTTAAGGTATTAATTCCTCCAATCACAGCTTGTTCGATTAATGCAAGTAGGAAATTAACATCGGCACCAATACGTCGTCAGTAATCAGACATACAAGTATTGAACCTTAAAACTCCAACCTGATTGAATAAAATTAGAAGTAGAAGCGAACTTACCAGGGGAGAGACCTGAGCCACTAGACTGCACAAGTCGAGAAGTGACCTGAGTAATAGGTACTGGACGCCCATTGCCTCCACGCAGAGCACTCCAAATCTGTGTGATGGTTGCAGGAAGAGCAGCAAATGCAGCTTTTTCCGAGGGCGTGACAGCTGGTTGTTGGAGGAGGGTAAGGCTCATTTGCTTTTCGCGCTCACGAATCTAAATGACAAGGGATGAGCATAAAAGTCAAACACTCCGGTGCTCATTTGCAAAAGGTAAGAGCGACGTAACAGAAAGGCATCTTCAACAGTGAGAGCAGGTTCAATACCGGCATCTTTAAAGTATAATTTTCCAAAAAAAGAAGTAGGATATATTCTTGAGTTTGCGAAGTGAAATTATAAACACGAATCCAAGTGTTCAAATCTTTTACTCTTTTTCAAGACTATCTACCCAATTTATTAGGATTGTGTATTATATTGTGAAATCGGGGTGTGCAATAGACTTACCTCCGCGTGGTGCACCCTGGCAAAAAAGTCAATAAACCGGCAGTTGACTTCTCACTTCAAACTACCCTCACCCCACCGTATGTCATACTCGACTACTTCCATAGTACTCACCTCACCTTTTTTCTACCTTTATGTCTGCCTCTTTTACATCTGTGAATCGCTCTTCTATATGTCTGCCTCTTTTACATCGTTGAAACACTTCTATTCCACCGTTTCGACATTTTCACTTTGATGTTCTTTCCCTCTGTGAGGCCTGAAGTCAACTAAAGGGCTAATGATAATTATCAAAACGCCTGCCATTTGATATAAATAAATATTGTGAAATCACATGTGACTAAAAGGATCAAAGTTTCTTCATGGCTAATCGATAATTTGTAGAATCAATACACCAAAACGTATAGCAATAAATCCACCAACTATGGTTCCGAAAAACGAGGCAGAACAAATGACACCAAAACAAGTTTATACAAGTGAAACTCCAGCTGTATGGTCTCCGGAAGAGTTAGAAAGGACACGGATTGTTAGTTGACGACCTGACAGGAAACTGAGTTGAATATGTTCAATGGACTTAAATAGGTTTATCCAACCCAGAGCTAACACACCCGTGCCTGAAAATGGAATTTTTTGAATATTGCATTATCAAACAACTAGGCAGCCAATCAAATCCACAATTCAAGATCCAATATAAACAGCTCTAATTTTTTGATAACGAGCCGCAAAAAACTGTCACGATGAATAGAGGTAATTGATGATAAACCAGGGTATACTAAATACAGTAGAAAATTCAATCCAAAATAAAAGTAATTAGAATGGATAAATACCTCAAGCCTCCTTAGGTAAATTACGAACAGTACCTAATTTGGATAGAATAAGTGTCCTGCCAATAAGAGTAAGTCAATGTGGTTGGGTGCACGCATCATTGGATGCAACCATTGGGCATCTTGTAGTCATAAGCTTATCACACGTGCGAACTTGACCGATACGCAATCAGCGCATTATATAAAATGATATGCTTTATAGTTTACTAATCAGTCCATGACCTTAAAGGTGCTACTGTCCTTAATTAGATACATTCGAAGCATAAAATACTCAAAGTATCAACAAGGAAAAGTTATGTTGTCAGGCGAGTAACAATTTTAAAACATTTATAAAAGGGTGCTCAACGGATAGACTACCGTAATAGACCAAACGAATCCGCTATTTAGCTCATCAACTGATGCTAGCTGAAAGGCCGGAAACAATTTATAAATATATTTATTTTAATATGGTTGGAAACACGATCATCTGCACTGATTATAAGGGATATCCAGACAGGTATATCAACCATCTTTCGACAAATCAATAGAGAAATATGCCATGTTAGAAGATCTATCACTAAGACTGACCTTGGCTAGTAGCGACGCAGAAATTCCTTTTAACTCTGCACTACCAGACGGTTTTTTACCCGGAGAACTAACACCCGAATCCGGGTTGTCTCCAAAACTGGGTATATTTCGGCTAGTAGTAGTACCAGGCGTCTCTCCCTTGGCGGCTGCAATCTTTTCACAAACCTTGGCCTCCCGGAAGAGAGCACGAGCACGGAACGCAACCACAGCGTCCCGAGCCGAAGTGATTTTCGCATCTGACCCATCGGAGGGGTGCGGGGGAAGAACTCCGAGTTCGACCTTGGGTACTGCAGTATCAAGGGAAAACGCTGGATGCCAGCGACGAAGGCTTGAATCATCTGGTAGGTCCGCTTCTGAGAGATTGAACCGAGAGATGAGAAATTTCTATGAGTAGCAAAAATATGGTCACCAGAGATCAATGCAATTTCAACTTCTTGTAATGCATATTAATAACAATTATAAAAATGAACAGATTGACAAAAGCAATTACCTACGTTACGAACACCAAACTCCATTAAACTGTTAAATAGAAATATAAGACAAGGCAAGATGACCCGAAAAGAAAGTACAAAGAACATTCACTTCAATCTAGTCCTTTAAAAGTAGAGTACATATTTGAGAATTAGGACTAAGCACGCCAGTGATCTAACGATGGGCATGTTCAAAGTTAACGGCAGTAGAAGCTATGTGATTGAGAACGCATAGAATTTATCTTTAGTCCAATTGCCTCACTAGTAGTAATGCACTTAGCAGATTACAATGTTTATCGGACCGTACCTAGTGAGAAGTACTATCAACCTAGGGTAAGGTCGAGTTTCTGACAGGAGGGCGCTATCCAAGTCACGTTAAAAAGCACTTTCAAGCATTTCAACGGGTTTGCAGGGTTATAACCCGTATGAACCAACTATCATGAAAACCAGAAAATTCCCGGATAAGTCTTTCTAAGACTGACCTCCGAACAGACTAATCGAGTTGGTGCATTTAAATGCAGCAAACCCCGAAAAGTAATAAACACGATATACTCACGAAGTGGCTAACGTTGAAAAATTATCTACTTGTAAAGTTAGAAAGGTTTGAAATAAATCTAGAAGAAAATTGCTAAGAATAACACATATTCCAATTATGACTTACTTTATGTGCATCCTTCACCCGACTTAAGAGAGCATTATAGAAGATTTGTCGACGTTGAATAAGCCGAGTTCCGGTAAAAGTCAAGTGTCCCTTCATTGGTGAGTCAGTACCCATTTGAGTGCCATCTAGACGAAAAAATGAACGAATCTACCAAACCAACTACCTGTACGCAAATTTGGAATAAACACAAGGGTATACGAGCTCAATTGCAATTTAGTTATTCTGTCGATTTGTTTGTCATAACGAAAACTGTATGCCGACGGATAGAGCGTAATGAACTGAGCAACAGTCTTATCTGTAAAATCACTAGGTGGAAAAGAGATTTTTAGAAGTAAACGTTAAATAACATACCATCTTGCAACTTCTTGAACAGCTGGTTTGATTTTATCGAAGCTACAAATTTCCGATCTGTTGTGAAGGGTGCTCACAATAGTTTCGCAAGTTCTGAATAACTCGAAAAGTCTTTCCATATGATAAGGAAGGCGAAGCTCAGGATGCTTGCGAGTTTCATCCGATGCATCTAATTTAACGGATTCCTTTGTCTTTGGCGATTTATCTGAGCCAGGAGGCATTTTGAGAGGAGTATTTGGACAACTCTCCGACTTTGTCAACAAGTGAAACTCAAGATTAGCACGGCTTTTAGCATCATCTTTCTCCACTTGCTTCAAAGCAACGGCAGAAATAGTCTCTGACAGGACTTCCGTTCGCTTGTCATCTTCAAAAATTTCCGCTTTCGCATCGAGTTCTTCCGTAGACGAAGAACTAAGAGATTCGATAACAGTGGAGCGAGCTTCAAGAACCTCTCTTATTTGTTCGTGAACATCTTTGCGAGTAAGATGGGCAAATTTTACGTGTGCGGAAAGTTTACTTTGAACCATTTTCGACGGACCAGAAGATTTGAGAGACTTGGTCTACTAATACATGCCAGTAATAATTGAAGTAATATAATAATAAAAATAGCTAATAAAATCAATACGTACCGCTGATTTTCCCCTAGTGTTATGAAGAACTGCATCCGGATTTGTTTTATTTCGAGATCTAGTAGTCTTTTTGCTGCGAAGTGCTGATTGCAAATCCGGTTCTTTTCGGTACGGCTTTGCTTCAACAATTTCATCGGTTATTTGTGCCTTTTTAACAGGGTTTGCAATAGTGTCACGTCGGACACCAAAATAACTTGTTAAGCTCATGGACATTGAGGCATAAATCTGAAGGCTATTGAATCAAACAATCCGCCAATGATCTAACTTTTGTATCTGCGCACCTTTGTTATCCAATGAAATTTAAACCTTGTCAAAATCACCTTTTTAAAACAATTAAAATTGTCTAATTTTCAATTTTATAAAGCAAATTCGGTTTAATAACTTTGAAATAACAAATTAACGAGTTAAAATATTCTTAGATATTTCAAAGGTATGATTATTTAAGATTAAGCAAGATGCACAAATATTTTCTAGTTTTAAGTAAACTAATCGTATTTACTCGCGTTTTAAATGTTTATTTTAAAAATTAACAAATTATTTGAGATCATGAATGAATATAATCTCTCAAACATTTATGAAACTCGCCACTTTCCCCCTCAAATTTATGATGTTTTTCTTTAGAATGCCCTAAACGACTCGTTTTATGAATATAGCTAAATCTTGAATTGCTAAACATGTCGTAACTATGCGTCTTGCCACAATGCCAGTACATTTTATCAGGTATAAAGATATTAATTTATTGAGAATAGGGTTTGCGTTAGGCTTACCTCCACGTGGTACACACAGGTCAACGTATACTCTTACAGCAATAATATCTATTAACTGGCAGTTCACTTCAAACTACCATTTTCTGATTCTATGTCATATGAAACCAATTTCACAGTACTCACCTTACCCTTTTCTCGACCTTTGTGTCAGTCTCCTTAACATCTCCCCCTCTCCACTTTTTGTGACTCTGATGTTCCTCCCTTCTGTGTTGTCCGAAGTCAGCTAATGGGCTAATGATAACTGTCTAAAAGCTTGCCATTTGATGTATATATATATATATATATATATATATATATGGAGTATTCTTGATTGAATAATTGTTTTAAAATATTCTCTTACTAATTTTGGATTTACACATTCTTTTAATATTGAACAAACTATGAAGCAAAATTAAAATTATTTATTTTTTTCCAATAAAATCATTTCTTTTATACATTATAGAGCAAATACTGTCTCCACCTAATAGAATTTCGTTAGATTACGTATTGCACTGACAATTTTGTAATAAGCTTTGCGCACTATCGACTTGTCTGAAAGTTACTTGCTCAAACTTAAAATTAGTTTTAACAAAATCAACGAATACGTCTAACATATTGCATACACTTTTTCCATACTTTTATTGTGATCTTTACGTAAACGTATGCAATATAGATCTGATTCAGGCAGATGGAAACAAACAAGATACTCGTGATGAGAGAACAGTTCTGAGGTGAAATGGAAAGTCACCGTTTTCAACTCATAAAGCCATTAAACATGTGTATATTGACGACAGTTTGGACGTGAATATTTTTCTTTGTGAGATTTTTCGTAGACAATTTGTGCTGTGGGTCGTAACCTTTTGTCATAAACCATGCGCACTAATATTTGTTAGTGTACAGACGAGAGGGCTCCTATATTTCAATTTATAATTCAGCTACCTGTTTTAGCCAATTCAACATTAGAAATACCAAAATTGCACTTAAAAGAATTCCGGAGGATTTTGACAATGTGCATATTTCAGGTTCTTTATGAAAAGCATAAATGCCAAGTAGTCCATTATTACCATAACTTTTATTTAAAATCACCAACCTACAATTCAGCAATAAGAATTTAATAGTATACAACGGTTAATTGCATACAAATCGGATAAGCGAGAGCTGACAAATTTATTATATGAACTCATTAACACCTTGTTTTAGAACATAAGTATTAATATCGCTGGGTTGTATATATTTAACCAGTGTTAAGGTAAATAAGTAAACATTCACATTTTGTAAGATGTGCAAATGTAACCCCAGATAATTAAATTTAATTATATTTGTTAAATAGAAACAGGACTGCATAAGAGGGTGAATGACTAATAATGAACCTTGAATAAAACTTAATTACTTTAAAAGGATGGTCAGTTCTTTGCCAAACGTTTGATATAATCAATTAACCAATAAGTGAAGTCAAAATTTTAGTAGTTGTTTAATTGATGAAACATGTTACTACCCTTAAAATTACCATTTTACATTATTAATATTTTTATAAGTGGATTTATTTACCCATGCTTCGTAGGCATGTAACTATCATCAACTCTACTAATAAGGAAAGTTTTAAATAATTCAAAGGTGCTATATTTTTTTCTCGTCAATCGTAATGTTCAACCTCTTTATTTATATTGAAAAAATTTTAGGTATCACTTATAACTATAAGTAAGGATAAGTATTTCACATGACGTTTTTCAGCGTACATTTTGTTAATCATTTAATTATTTTTACATAGCACTCCATTCGATAACTGTCTTTAGAACTGATCGACATTTATTCCCTACAATTCGTTTTAATTAACTTATATATTTGACTCTTGCTAATAGTAAGAAAACAAAAAGTATCAATGAGTGTCACCATCGTTTCTCTCTGGATAGTATCGGCAGAAGAGTTCTGAAACCTGATCGGCTCCTTTTCCGAAGTATTGAACTTCAATCAACTCTCCTTCGGACAGACCAAGATCAATAGCGTTGTAAACCTAAAAATTGGAGGAGCAAAATTAAAAAATATCATGGGACAGTCACAGATATCTTCATAAATGGGCATACTCAAATATTTAGATAAAGTAAAAGATCTATTTTCGATATTTATAAAACTCACCTTCAGTGGACTAGAATAGAGTTGACTATTTGGAATAAAGACAGTATCTGGTCGATCGGCAACCTTTACATAAATTCCATTTCGCCTAAAATTAAATCGATTTAGAGGTGTATTGATAAGATTATCACAATTTTAAAAAGTGGATGGGTTTTTAAAATGTTACCGAAAGTTGGCTGTTATATGATTCCAAAAAATAGTTTCATGAAATGAAATTTTCCGTTTAACCCCGATAGTATTTTATTATATTGTATTACTATAAAATACCACCACGGGGACTAAAAGAAAATTCTATTTATGCTATGTCAAATGTACGTATGTGGGTATTATATCACATTGTATACCAGCAGATCTAATAAGTCAATAATAGATGAAAGGATTATAAAGTCATTGTACAATTGATGGAGAAACTAACCAACCACAACAGATTGCAAATATGGAAGAGTGCACTAATAATAATAACAATAATGGCCGCCTTTCATGGTACTTTGTCCATAAAATTGATTTTATTAAAATATAAATTTTCACATTATATAATATGGAATACAATATCCACCCTGAAGCAATCGTTGGCCTTTGTTTTCTTCCCAATATTCTAAGCATCGATAATCAATTTTATGTAGATGAAAAAACCAAATGTTTCACTACGAAAGGATTAAAGCCTCAACATATAATTGGGAAGAGTAAATTCTTTGGATGTTGGTAGTAGAAAGAAATAAGAAATCGTAACGAATTCCAAAGTGGTGTAAGTTGATAAAACGGCCATTTTTCATAAAAAAATAATGCTCGCATTTGAAGCAGTTGGCCATGAAATTCATCAATAAAAGTAATTCGATCGAAGTATGCTTTAAGAACTTGACAGCACATATTATTAATAAAAGTCACTCCAACTTTGAAATTATTTGAAATTTCATAAGAAAATTAAAAAGTATATATTAGTTAGGCAATCATGCTATCTCTAAACATGAATAGCAGATAGTGAAGAGAAAGTTTGTAAAAAACTGGACACACACACATACATACCTCCACGTAGTGCACCCTTGGCAACGTATTCTCATACGGCAAAAAAGCCTATAAATCGACATTTGACTTCAAATTACCATGACCCGACTCCGTGTCATATTCGACCATTCACAGTACTCACCTTACCCATTTCTCTACCTTTGTGTCTGTCTCCTTTACATCTGTTCCTCCCCCCCCCCCCCCCTGCGAAGCCCAAATCCAACTAAAGAGCATATGATAACTATCAAAAAGCCTGCCATTGGCTATAAACAAATAAATAAATATATAGACTTACTTCATTGAAACGATTATAGCTGGATAGCGCATTCCAGGCACTAAGGCCCATTGCTCCTTCAAACAAAGTAAAGTAATTCGAATTCAGTTAAAATTTACCCTAAATGCTTTTTCACAGCCAGAATTAAAATCATCTGCCATTAACGCACAAAAAACGTCCTTCAACTTGAAGAGGTGAAGAGCTTACCTTCGAAAGTTTGGCTTTCTCGCGGCGCTTGATAAGCAATTCAAATCCCAGGAATATAAAGGAAACAATAATTCCAATAAGCAAGAATATGTAAATACTAGCTGCATCATTAAGTTCTAGAACAACAGGCAGCGGAATGTTGTAGGGTGGATGATAACAAGGACCCGTCTCAAAATACCTAGTGAGATGAGTACCCAAAAAAAAGCAGAGAGTCAATTGTTTCTTTTTTTCTATATGAATTAACCAAAATACAAGAAAAAAATGACTTACACCGCAGCGGCTTTACTAAAAGCACCAGCTCCATCAATTATTGCCAAGTATTCATTGAAGGCGGATCCGAATTCCCAGCCTGAATTATAGGGGAACACTAGTAGAGAATCATAGATTTCAGTGTACGCTATCTGCTCCAATCCACAATCCTATTTTGTTTTGGAAGTAGGAAAGTTAGCAATATCACGTACATTCAGGATAATGAGAAGAGAATCAAATATGTACCATAGAGCTAATGTAAGAGGCTTCAATAGACGTGGCAAGGAGAACAGTTCGTTTACTTTTCATGAGTTCATTGTATGCTGTTTGGATACTATCAACTGTTAAGAAGGTTCTCTGAGAATTAGTCAAAGAGGTGACTATCTGATCATAGGCTATTCCATTTTTTAGCACAATGATTCTAAAATCAATAAAAAATAATCGATCGTTTCAAAAATAAAATAAAATGGAAATAAAATAACTAAAATACGCATAAAATAAGGTTATGAGTGGGATGCAAAGACTCAGCTGACTGAAACTTTATTGAAATTTGGATTAAACAACACTGTTTAGATGGATAGAATGCTATAAACTCCAAATATTTTTTCATTCTCAATATCAATATTAAATATCTGGTTGAAAAGCAAGGATTCAAGATCATGACCTATAAAGGAGTACATGAAAGGCTTCTCGTGGACATGGGAAGATGGAATGAAAAGGCGTAGCGTACTATAAGACTACGAAAAATTGAAAATTGTACCAATTGAAAGTTACCTTTCTATAAAAAAACAGTTCATTGGTCTAACTATTTTTGTCATTCATTTAGTAAGGAACTATTTTCGCTTACGAATCACATTTGGAAGGATGAAGCACATCGTCCACCGCAATGTCATCATTGATAGGTTTCTGAACTCTCAACATAATGGTCATCATGGCACTGGCATAGAGCACAAGCAGAAGATAGGAGAAAAGCCACATGGTAAGAGCAAATAGTCGACTAGAAAGGGTGGTGGGAATGATCTGAAGTTTGGTGAGAGTGAAGCTGGAAGCCACACCGAGTGATGAGACCCCAAAGAGATCCGTTTTTGTTATCATTTCGCCCTCAGCTAGATTCCGCATGATAACTGGCTTGAGGTGACCGAAGAGCATAAGCAGACCAGCAAATATAAAGGCCAGGAAGCAACTGCCTAGCCATACGGGCATAGCCAAGGGTCTCAATATGAGAAGGAGGTCAGTAGGACGACGCTGATGCTGACGAAGAAGGGTGTAGGAAATTGTCAGGCTAGCTTGTGAAGCTATCATGTTTTCATTTTTAACACCAACCAGGGGCATTGGGGTGATTCCAGCATCAATCTCCTTAAATACGAGAGAATTCATGTTAATTTTAGCTTCAAATTTTGGCACAAGGAGGCAATTATTCATCTCGTAGTATTCAAGGGGTATACGATTGGACAGTAATTAACTCAAAGGCTGAAAAATACAGTGAAAAGCTTGATGAGATAGAGGGAAATTTCCCCTTAACTTATCAGTCGACGTCCCTCTGTATTTTTTGCTCAGATGAGCGAATCAAAACTTGTAACATGTTCTTTGAAAAATATGCTCCTCTGGGGGTAAAAACCACTCGAAGTGGATCATTTGCTTCGGCCCACATATGATTACGTTATCCCGATTTCATCACTTAGGTTATAAACCGTATTGAGTCTTAAGTAAATTTTCTGATAGTTGATACTGATGTGCCAAAGCGTGATTTCAATCGTGCGCGCGAGAGTTTGGTGATTCAAAACATATTCGACCAATAATCGCGGCCGATTTATTTTCCGTTTAATTGGGAGGGGGGGGGGGGGGGTTAGAATTGGAAAGTGGAATGTTTTACTTTCACACCATTGTGCATTAAATAGGGAGATTCGAGGTAATCAGATATTATCAGGTATATTTTTTCAAAAGGTCGCATAAAAAAGAAACAAATTTCTACTACAAGGAACAGCATTTCCTTCCCAGAGAGGCCTCTTTTTGCCACATACAACAAGCACCAACCCCTTCAACAAAGCTATCTGCGATTTATTTCTCAAATTGTGAAATGTGCCCCATTTCAGGCACATTGGAAAAAAATTATATCTATTTTTGACGTTATAGAAAGAATTTGTAATTTCAAAGAAAAGTTAAGTATATTTCTTACAATTACCTAATTATGTTGCATTAACTGTGCACATTTGTTTCAGTTCTTATGCAAATTACACCAGCTAATGTAAATCCCAAAATAACTGAATTCATGCTCAATCTAAACCAATCATGGTGGCCACATGACAACAAAAAAAGGACTCACATTCTTTATGATGGCCTCCTCCATAGCAGCGTAGTAGGGCCTATCTGGAGTCGCATTATAGAAGGTGATTGCATAATGGATGCCGGCCGTATTTGTCAATTTCGATAACACTGAAGTTGAAAATCCAGTTCCATTGTTAAAGAAGGGTGGATACTAGGGAGAATAAATAAAATTTTAAGTGCCGTAACCAAAAATGCGTTAAAAAATAATGCTAGCCTCATTGCTTTCGTTACCCGGAGTAATAAAATAATGTTACTGTCAATTTTGGAAAGCAACTAAATTCGGTGTTCAGAAGGCCCAAGAATGGTAAAAGAATCGGGATCAAAAGGACGCAGAGAACAACAACAACAAGTTTTACATCAAATAAATTTCAGACTTGAGTTGGCCAATATCGAATGAATGGTTTTTTCGGTCTTAAAGTTCAAATTTCCTTTTACCTACCCTGGGCTAGAACAATTGTTTGCATACGATTTCCCGCTTTTAATGACTTTGTTTAATTAAGTGGTGTTGATCATGGTCCTTCGTTTCTTTCAATAGAAATAGTATCATATATATATATATATATATATTTATATTTATATATACATTGGATGTGTGAAAGACTTACCTCCACGTGGTGTATCCTGGGCAACGTAGGCACAAACGGCAAAGAAGTCTATAATCAGGCAGTTGACTTCAAACTATCATGACCCCACTGTATGTCATATTCGATCACTTACAGAGTACTCATCTTACTTTTTTCTCTTTGTATCTGTTTTCGTTACATCTGTGAATCACTCTTCTGTTCCCCCCCCCCCCATCTCGACTTTTTCTCATTTTGACGTTCCACCCCTCTTTTGAGGCCTAAGTCAACTAATGGTGACTCTCATAAAGCCTGCCATTTGATATAAATAAAAAATATATAAGATTACGTCTTTTCTAGAAAATAAACGCCAAACGTATTTGAAAATTTAAAGATAAAATTCAAGTAGAGTAATATTGAACAGGATCCTCTAGCATTTTATTAGTTTCAGTGTTAGATTACTTTCAGAAAGAGGATTTAAATTAGGCACTTACAGCAGCGATTCCAACTCGAATAGTTCGGCCATCAATGGTTGAATTGACAGTCGTTACAACCAAGACTGGATCTCTACCCCTAACATAGCTGCCGACCTAGGAGTATGTAAAAAAGGGCAACAGACAATTTTTCCCTTAGAAGGCATTAACTCTCTATAATAGACAAAAGAACACAGATCATTACTCCATGGTCAGTAAACTCAGCACAATCGAGGACGACCATTGATTCAACTGGGCTCGCCGTTGGTTCCGTTTCAGTGAAATCTACTCGGGAAAGAATATACTCACTGGGCTATAAGGAAAAAAGGGAAAAAGACAAATAGAGACCTTACTAATGGAGATATTTGATAAAACTTCAGGCTTCGTATGCAAACTAATGAATTGATTGAAAAGTGTCTAATGTGTACTCTTATTGCCCGATCAAAATGCTTATCAAAGTAAAATTTTGGTTTGATTGAGTTAGTAGTAGAGGAGTTAAGGCGGCAGGATGTTTATTGTTTCACTTAATGACCAAAGTTCATGCACTCGAAACCCGAAAGCTGACTGCCTGTTCAGATCTTTACGTAAGTTGGCTTCCACTTTTCCGCGTTACTAAATTAAATGATATGTTGCTGAACTGTGTACATTGAATCATCATAACTTCAACTTCAAAAAGGCCATATTCGCTGCAATTTAAATACCATTAAAGAGGCTATTTTGATTTTGATTGTCATTGACAACATGAGTATGTATTTAACGTTCAGTTTCGGTTCAAACAAAAAACGTAAAATGAAGTTTTCATGTGCTAATGAGAGTGGAATAATTGTGGAACTCTAACAGAATTTGATTGGTTATGTTATCTGTTGGAATTATTAAAAAAACAACTTTCCAAAGAAGGTTTTTGTACAAAGCCTATTGGGCAAAATATGCCACTATGAGAAACTCTGACACGCACTTACCATATCCGTTCCATTCTGAGTAATGTAAGTTAATCCATCCAAGTAAAGTGCAGAAGTTTTCCATGTGGAATTGTAGAAGGGATCTGGAATAGTTGGCGCATATGATTTGCTTGTTGCAAAGGTGACGAGGGAAGCACCTGAATTGATATACTGCCCGTAGGGAGCACAGCCATCTTGCTATTGGTGGAAATGTTAAAAGAGGTAAATCCCATGCTAGAGGATCAATAAACCTACCAATCAGAACGGTAAAATAAACTCACGGAAGAGAGCAGGATGAATTTTATTCCTTTCCTTAATTGTTGATGCCTTACTGCCTATTAAGAGATAGAAAATGATATATTATGTTACAAATTCCAAAGAAAACATGCATAAAATTTATGCAATAATGCATATTCATCGAAGTTATCTTTCGTGTTTGACTTGTGTGGAAAGTATGTACGCTAAGGTTAGTTGCGAATGACTTAAAATGTTTAAAACTCAACCGAAAATTCCAGCTGTTTTAGTGAATGGTTATTTAGTGTGGTCACTGTTATAGCGTTATAGTAACCAACTCATGGTATATCTTTGATTGACAAAAGAGACAAAAAAATGCTGTTTCTGGATAGAGCGATTTCAGAATGCTTTCTAAGTTCCAAGTTGCGTGGTTAAAACGCGTATCCAAGGCGAATTTCAGAGTTTTATGGTGGATATTATCGCAAATTTACTTTGAGGTTGTTGACTGGAATTACTGTGGGATATGAAATGAATTTCGAGATGTTTTCCTCAGATGAGGATTGATCAATAAAATTGTCGCAATTGAGTGACGCAAAATTATTAATACGAGTGAGAGAGAAATAAGCGAACTTAGAAGACAGCCATCCTTGAGTAGATAAATATCTTTTGATAACTGCACTTAAATATGAATAGTAAATCATAAAATGTCTTTAGGTCTTGCAAAATCTCTGCAATTACTGACGTCAGCATTCAAGTGCCACGCGGAATCCACAGCCCATTTAGCATTGTTAGTAGTATTGCAAGATAAATTGAACCCCCAAATCGACAATGATAACAAGGTCAAATTAAGTACCAATACAGATAGTGAAAATTTAAACAAAATTAAGCAACTGGGGATTGATCTGGCTGTTTGTATTGTCAAGAGCTTTATTCTCCTCTCAAAAGAAGTTAAGAGGAGAAAGTTAAAGAGAAAATAACACTACTCCTTGTGATCTTTCTATTGAGCAAACACATTAACTCATGCCTTCATAGTCTTAATCGTCAAATGATGAATTCAGGTCATTTATTTGACCAGCGAGGAAATATCATAAAACGGTCAATTTCGATACACAATGTGATCTTAAGGGGTCTGTATTAAGGAACCTATAATACAAAAGGAAATAAAAGGGGGCCAAGGATGAGAGGAAGTGATCGAATTGCTTTTATGACCATAATCCTCCCCATTCAGCAGCCGCATAAAAAATTGTTTGTGGCTTGGTCTAGACAACCGCCTTACTGACTCCCTATGGTCCCCCCACGGCCTCCGCTTGATGTGCTTGCTTTCTTTCATGGTTGCTCAACGAACATTTTGTCTTCCGATTCTGAAAAGACTGTTGAGAGAGAGGTGGGGGGGGGGTGCTTTAGGATGAGGGACTGTTTCACAAGGAAAAGTCTAGTGGTTTAATTTAATAGAACTCTCAAAGTAGTTATACTGACGACAATTATTACCTCCATAATCACCTACCATCCTTTATTGAGCTCTTATTTCAGCCTCAAGTATTTGGTTTGGTGTAGAGAATTTGGAAATTTAAAGCAAAGGAGTGATTTTAAATTAGAGCTTCATCTCAAGGTCTTGTCGCTGCTCTCAGTACTACTACATGTTAGTGATCAATGCAGTAATAATTTTTATTCCGAATAACATTTTTTACTGCAACCAAAGTATCATTAAATTTTATTGCACATTAAATTATTTCCATATTATTCGCTAAATTAAAATAACCAAAGAAATTTTTTTAACATAAACAATAAAAAATGGGAGTCAATTTGAGTATTAAAGGGGTAAAAAGGGAGAACTAGAACAGAAAAAAAGTAATATATGCGCTGCAAAAATTGACCTACCAATTGGAGGAGTTCCTGAGTATTCTTATAACTGGTTTCTTGCTTAAAAAGGAGAACATAAGTATGGGGATTCCCATTACTTCGAAGTCTGGGGACCAAATCCTTTTGACTCCTTCCATTTGTTAAATTGTATGTAGTGAAGTAAATATTCTTTATCATTCGAATTAGGAAAAACAATTCTAGAATATAAAAAAAATTATTGATTTTTTGGCGAACAATACTGTCAAAATTGTGGAGTCAAGTTTTCTTAACAAAAATATTTACGACTTCATATGAACGAGGTACTTAGTTATGATTCAGAAAGTAAACAATTAAGTGTAACCAAAATAATATATATATATATATATATATATATATATATATAATTATTCCGTTATATATATATATATATATATATATATATATATATATATAACGGAATAAAGAGTTTACTAAGAAATATAGATTCAGGTAGTCGGAGAATAGCATCATCTTTTTTGATGTAAGTTAGTAAAAAAATATTAACTTGTAGCAAACCATTTTAAATGTTATACTGTTATAATTTAGGACGGCATAAAAAGGAATTAAAATGACTGGACGTGATGACGTGGTTCAATATACTGGTCAACATGGGGGTGTTTTGCATATAATTCTACTTTTGGCCTTGTAAACTAATTATCACAGATTGATAAAATCCAATTAAATTAATTATATAAGAAAAGCGGGGTGGGCGAAAGGCTTATGCCTAGGTGATCTATAAACCGGCAGTTGACTTCTGACTTCAATGTCAATGTATGTCATATTCGACCAATTCGACCGTGCTCACCTCAACTAACCTTTTCTCTACCTCTGTGTCTGTCTCTTTACACCTGTGAACCACCCCTTTCTGTTCCCCCACCCTCGACCTTTTGTACCTTTGGTGTTCTCCATCTCTCTGTTTAGCCCTTAGTCAACTAAAGGACTAATGATAACTATCATAAGGTCTGCCATTTGATATACATAAAAAATTTATATACGAAAAGTAGGCTTACTATTTTGGTCATCGAAGATGAAAGTGAATTCACCCTGTCGATCTTGTAATAGTGCATAGGTGGCTCTAGCCATGGTTTCGTCAATATTTTGTAAAAACTTGATTATTTTGCTTTCACGAATGATAGGAGCGAACGCTGAAGTGGCTTCCATTGTGGTACTGTAAAATGGTGACTTATTGGTGTGGGAAAGAAGGGCGTAATCCTCTCTATAACTGTTCAAATAAATCGGATTTTCGGAAGCAGCTAAAATGAAAGTAATTAAAGATTGATATTTTCATTTTCTATAAATTAAAATCAAAGGTCGACTTTCTTTATTAAAGCTAAGTGTTTCAAGTTAAAAGATAAACAAACTTGGTTTGAAAAGTAGTCACGATTAAATTTGCCATACGTTCAAGACTCCCACTTACCTTGAGTTGAAGATACATCTGACCAGGAAATGTTTCCAGGTATGTTTTTCAACCAATTTCCAAGATCTCCATAAATGTTGGCATAATCAGAAATGTTCGCACAGGTAACTGAAAGATCAACTGAATTTCTTTATTCTTGTTTAACTTAGTGTTCTTTTATTTAATGTTTGCTTTACTGCATTTAATTCAAAGAGAGGAGTTTACAATAAAACAATAAAATCAGGTTTAAAATATCTAGTTATTTCAAATTTCAAATACCTGGATATTTGTTGAAAAGAGATTTTGACAAAACAAGAAGAGACTTTTTCGTTAAGAAAGCTAAAGTTCAAAATGGATTATAATTAGTCAAGAATGTCCCCAAAATTTACGCTTCATTATGAAAATTAAATATATTGGAGATAAATATCTCATACCTCTTCCACATAACGAAATACTATCCATTCAATGAATTAAATCTGATTTTAATTATTACCATCAATGCCACCCAATGTATCACGTACTTGACGTATACTTATTGGAACCATGACTTATATCCTTAACTAGCAATGTTGATAATAGGTCCTAATTTCAATACGCCTTCAAGGTCATTTCGGTCGATGTAAGTTTAAATCATAAAGCTAATTTTCATATTACCTGCTATTCCAACTTTCTGTTGTTTCAGGTTGAAGATCTTAGATCTTCTAATGTTTATGGAAATACAGGACTCTGAACACCAAAAGTTCCGATTAGAAGCTAGGAGGGTGGTGAGGGGGGGGGTGTGTGAGGACTGGGCTATCTTTTCAGTGAAAAATAAACTAAATCTGTTTTCACTAAGCGAGACTTCAGACAACAGTCTTCAGTCGAGAATGGCAGAAAAATAGACTTTTAAATTAAATGTATTATGTTCCCAACTGATATAATGGAATAATTATTATCTCAATTAAGATAATTTGTAAAACATACAGTTTTGAAGCGCATACTGATCATTCGGAATAGTTGGAATCTTCAAATTTTCAAACTTGCAATTTCCCTTCATGGATGTTAAAATGGCGGCAGTTAAAGCTGTGTTGTGATTGGAAGAAAAATTATTAGAGAAATAATATATATTTTTATATATACATAGTGACTTTGTATTCGAATAATAGTTAAAAAGGTAGAACAAGCGGTATAGTAAAATGATCCTGGGATTATCAGGTACGCAGCTAACCTATTAAGGACGTGGAAATTCATTCCCAATTATGGAATTAATTTGTAAGAGATAAATTTCGATGTTATGATAATTATTTTATTCAAGACGGATGATTATTATGCTCTGAATCCATTAAATGATTGGGTTGCTTTCGAGTTTGAAAGTGTCCAGTCTAATTCAAGGCTTTTTTATTCTCCAAAACTCGCACATAAATACACACACATATATATATTTAATTTTTTTTGAGGAATAATCATTGTATGACGACTCTAATATATTTAATGAAAGCGACGTTAATATGCCGAAAGTATCGAATTTTCAATGCACTATATTAAAGTAATTAGCTTACAGTCATCACAACACTTTGCTTCCGAAATATCCACCCCTGTTTTGTAGAGAGATTTGAACCGTTCTTGAGAAAATAAAAAATCGTCTGCATTACTTTCGAAATGAAATCTTACGAATAAATAAATAAATATATAGCCTATGCAATAAAATATATCAATTAATATCAAAAGTACATATAGGACTATTTTGACTAAAGGAACTCAATATGCAATTTGAGCTGCTTAAAATATTGACGGAAGAATATGTTAGTGGTATGTCCTTACCTAAGGTAGCATCGATTTTCCCACTTCTGCCTTGAGGTACTTGGTTAAACCGATTACAAAAAAGACTGCCAATACCACCCCATATTGTGGCTATTTCAGTTACAGTGGATTGAACATTCTCTGCATTAAAAAAGGCAATTTTACTGAGTACATTTCAATGAAATTGGTCCAGTTAATAAATTCTAATTTCGACATTATTAGAATATGTGAAAAGTGAATTGACATTAAAAAAATCAAGAAAATGAAATAAAAATAGGATGAGCAGTTAATTTAATATTAAAAATTATTTATAAAAAATACTTACGACAATTTCCTTTGTGGGGTAAAATTAGAACAAAAATCCAACATATTAGCAGTGCCTTCATATTGGCAAGGCATTTAGAGTTTGATTAGAGCACACGAAAATCTCGATTTCACCATCATGTTCCGCAACAACCAATCACAAGGCACCTGGTGGTACTAAGCACACTTGCTTAGATTAAGAGGGTGCATAGCACCCAATGGTGTTTTCCCGTGCTTACTTTACAGGCGTGTTGTGATACTGGCTCATCGGCGAAATCGTAATACCTGACTAACACAACAAGGGGATTGAAAGAAATGCGGTCTAATTATTTACTCACAAAGCATAGTTACACTTAATGATATTAGAGCGCCGCACAAAAGCGGCTAGTGACAGATTTTGAGAAAAAGTGGATTTACATAGGCGTCTGGATAATTTCAAATCAATTAACAATTAACAATTTTTCTTCTGCTTGCTTTATAAGTAAGAGAATCGTATGCGACCTAACTGTTAGCTAGCAACAGATAAAATCGAAGAATTTTTTCCTGAATGTGACTAGCTCATATTAGTTGTCTTCGCTTTTGCTATCTCAAGGTCAGAAACAATATTAACTATGATCGATAATATCAAGATGTATAAAGTGACATCAGCAACCTTCAACACCTTAGTGTGCGTATAGAAACCTACAGATCTGCTAGTTAACATTATATTGAAATGTCAACAGTCTGGCATGAATATGGTCCCCAGCAGAGATGTTTGCATGAAAAATTTAATGATTATTATAGCGCATAGTAAAACAAACATTACAGTATTTTTATTTAGATAAAGTAAAATTGGCAATCAGTTAGTTTTAGGCAAAGAGGAGTAGATTAAAGAGATGTTGAGGGTCAGAGTTAGAGAACCAAAGTGGCCCACTTCATTTGATGTTTGAAAATTGGTTGTAGCATTACAAAATTAGACTTTCACAATTCGTTAGCTGAATAAACGATCGGTTTCTTTTCTACTGTAGCAGTTTGTTTAATTAAATTGATGGATTTTGTCCTCGAAGTTCGATATAACCAATCTAAAAGGTGCAAGGCAACAATAGCTACCATGATTTTAGCAAAACGGATTGCTCCATAAATAAGCTTGCTCAAGCAATACTAAAGACAAAGGCCAAATGTTTATTGCTGATATACTTGGATTTGCGCGTTTGTCCAAGTTCCATAAAGCTTCATAATTCTTGTTATGCGTTAGAACAATTGGTCGATGATCACTTTATTACCAATCTCAAGTAGACGTCAACCTTTTTCCATCACTCGCGCATTGCATCTTCATGATTATGATGTCTTTATCGACAACCGGAATTCATTATTTTTCCATGTTGAAAACTGACTTATAACGCCATTAGGCATGGCCATAATTGGCATTTGACTAATTTGATACAGCTATAAAAACAAGTTGTCACGCAAGAAATGATATTCGATGCTTCAAAGCTATAATTGATTTGATGCCTTTCAGTCTCCTACATAGACTGAACAGTGTATGTTTATATCAAAACTAGTTGGAATATTTCAAAAAAATTTATTTCAGAAAGCGTAATTTACACAACATAAATGATTAAGAGGAGTGCCACACTGATTTTCCGCCTATTCAGGAAAATGGCGACAGAAAAGTTTTGTCCTTCCATTGCTGTCTTTACCAAAGTAAGTGATTTCTATTGAATCTCCCTCAGCAAGCCCAAGATCCAAAGCATTGTATACCTGATAGAAATGAATGATTGCTTAGAGCTAAAAGAAAATCGGTTGTGCAAGCCGAAGTTTTGAAATTATCTCGTACATAATTCCTTTGCTAAAAGTAGCTGAATTATGAACTTATACAAGTAATTTACAACAGATACTTCAACAACTGAGGTTTTATGTGAAGGAACAAGTGTAAAGCCTAATGCAACACTAGTATAAGTGAGATCAATAAGCTGACCTTAACCGGGTTGGTATGAAGCTGACTATTTGGAATGAAGATGGTATCTGGACTGATACTTGTAGCTACATATACCCCATTTTGCCTGAAATAAAAAGAAAAAATGGATCAATAGAGAAATGAATTAATTATGGCTACACAAAGCGAGCTCTGCAAATCCGATAGTTATACCACTTAATCCCACCCCAAACTAAACCCTTTAGAGAAATGGAGGTAAGAAAGCGCCACTTGTAATGCATTTCGGAGTTTTAGCTAGAGTAATCGGATTATTTTATGTAGATTCACATACACCAGTCGCTGTTTTAGTACTAAAATCAATGAAATAACATAGAAAGAATCAAATTACTCCTAGAAATTATAGCACAAATAACACATTGGGCATGCCTAACTAATACTCTCTGAAGGAATGAAATAGCCAGGGACTCGTGAGCAAAGAGTCCGTGGCAGAATATGACATGGAAATGGACATTGGAAGGTGGAAAGAGAGCACAGTTGCTAATGACACCATTATGACAATAAGAGCGCTGTGATACTTAACTTACCGCAAGCAAAATGTAATCGAATTTGCTTACTTGATCGATGTAATTACTGCTGGATAATGGCGTCCAGGTAAGAAACTTGTGGTCTTTTAAAAGGAAGATCTGAGTTAATGCAAAGCTGAATAGGACTTGAGGTTGGAAATCAGATTGTGCTATCTTACCTTCCTTTTTCGCCTACGACGGTAGGCTTTTGAAATATTTTCTGCTCCAAAGAAGAGGAGAGACATAATAATTCCAATGAGAAGAAATATGTAAATACTGGCGGTGTCTTTAGGTTCAAGAGGAGCAGCCTCAGGAGTATTGTGATTTGGATGATAACAGCTCCCAGTCTCAAAATATCTAATGAATACAATAATGCAGGTCATCATCTTAAGAGGAGTTCAGTTGCAGACAATGAAAAATATGGCACTTGCAATGAAGATGCTTTAGATAGGACACCAGATTTGCTGAGTACGGAGATGTAGAAGTCCAATTGAGAACCAAGGCTCCAGGATTTTCGATATGGGAAGGTTAAGGTTGTTGCATCCATTAAGGCGTATGGAATGATCTCCAAATTGCAATTCTTTAAAAGGCGGAACAAAATTATTGTACAAAAGCATTGACGACCATTTAAGCTATTTAAGTACGCATAAACTTACAGTGACAGTGAGATAAGATGCCTCAATCGAAGACGCTAGAAGAACGGTCTTTTTACTTTTCATCATTTCTGCATATGCAGTTTCCAAGCTTTCGACTGGAGTGTATTTTTGAGCTATGTCATCTAAGGAGGCAACGATTGCTTCATAGGCGATACCATTTCGGAGTACAATCAACCTATAGGTAAGAGAATTACCAACTTTGATGCTAATATATGGAATATGCAAGTCGGGTTGAAGCATAATTACAGATCTATGATGAAGGAAAGTAGGGTAAGGACAGAAAACGAGTGTCAAAAGGGGTCGGCGAGTTTTAGAGATTGGAAATCGATAATAGAGAGAAGAGGATTATTTAGCCATTAAAAAAATTGTGAATCCAGTCTATTAAACCAAACTTCACCCAACAAAGGTGGGACACAAAGGTCTATTAGAAACCTTTTATTTGGACAAATAAAGGTAAGACAAATGCTTGTTGAACGAGTGGCCTAGCATTTTATAATAAAGATAGTTGACTTATGTCTGCTACATCTGTGAATCACTATTTTGTTCCCCCTCTCGAAATTTTCTCACTTTCATGTTCCTCTCTCTGTGAAGTCCGAAGTCAGCTAAATGACTGATGATAACTCTTCAAAACGCCTGCCATTTGAAATAATAATAATAAATTTGAGAGTAGATATGAAGTGTTATTAAGGGCCGTCAAGTACAAAAGCGCTCGAATTGAAACAAAATGTGTTGACATTTTGTTTGGTGAAAAAATTCGTTGGAGTTTCTAGTTGATAAAACCCATCCAAATCAAATCTTGAAATCCCGCTCAATGTGAGTCAAGATTACGTTCAGCAAAAATAACCAGCAAAATACTCTCAGCTTTGAAAAATTTTATTGCAGGCTATGGGTAGCATTTCCGATTTTAAGGTGTTTCAAGAAATCGAAATTGTTACGTTTTCCAATACACATCTTGGACACAAGAGCTACTTTCTAGAGATCAAGTAATAAATAAATCATGCTCTCATGCATCACCCTTGGTGTTTTACCAGTTTACTGATTATACCCGGGCTGAAATAGGTGATTGGCTGACCTTAACACCCACACTACGAGGTCAGAATGCAGGAAAACAAATACCTTCCCATTTCAAAGTATCCATTTTTATGGTCCTGGGGTGTGCGATAGACTTACCTCCATGTGGTACACTCTGGTCAACGTATACTCATACGACAAAAAGTCTATAAACCGGCAGTCGACTTCTGGCTTCTCACTACTATGACCCGACACTATGTCATATTAAACCACTCCACAGTCTTTATCTTACCTTTTCTCTGCCTTTGTGTCTATCTGTTTGTCTGTCTCTTTTACCTCTGTGAATCATTATTCTGTCCCCCTCTCCACTTTTGTCACTCTAATGTCCCTCCTCCTCCTCTCTGTGAAGCCCGAAGTCAGCTAAAGGGCCATTGATAACTATCAAAACGCCTACCATTTGAGATAAATAGATAAATTTTAATCCTCATTAGCTTAGCATGTAAAACTTGATATTCGAGTCAGTCTTGCCATTGCACTATTCGAAGTTTCAAATAGAATCAAAAGACTTACTTGAGTCTGCTTTAATTTCTACCGTCATTACTAAGAAAAGAAAGGTAAATTTAAAAAAATATTAATATCCAAATAGGAAACGAGATCCAATGAAGATGAATCTATTTTCCACAAATGCGAACATTGGGGTCCCAATATCCTCCTTAACATAACTACCCAATAACAATTTATTTCAGAAGGCAAGTAAATAGGCTAGATAAAATAAGGATTGCTCACTTATCGCAAGCCGATGCACCAAGAACCTCCTTCACGGTGATATCAGCGTTCGAAGGCTTCCGAATTCTCAGTAGAATAGTCATCATCGCACTTGCATAGAGCACTACCAGAAGGTAGGAGAACAACCACATACTCAGAGCAAATAGTCTGCTGGAGAGTGTGGTAGGTATGATCTGCAGTTTTGTGAGAGAGAAACTGGAGACGACTCCGAGAATTGAAACCTCAAGCAGATCTCTTTTAGTTGATATCTGTCCCTCGGCCAAATTGCGACCAATGACCGGTTTGAGATGAACGAAAAACATGAGCAGGCCCATGAAGATAAGACCAAGAACTAGAGTTGCCAACCAAACAGCCATTGAAAGAGGTCGTAAAATAAGGAGGAAATCAGGCGATCGGTCTGCTCGCTGTCTCAGGAGCACATAGGCTGAAGTAATAGTAGCTGATGTTCCAACCACACTCCTCAATTTCAATACATTAAGTGGCACTGGAACAAAACCCACGTCAATATCCTACAGCGTACAGGACTGCACGATTGAGAAAATCATAGTGGAAAGGGAAAACAAACGGAAAAAAGCTAAAAGCTTACACCATCTTCGAGGGCATTTTGCATTTTTAAGAAGTATGGATATTCGGAGTTGAAGCTGTATTCAGTGACTACAAAGTTTACTTGGGCCACATTTTTCAGAATCTTCATGACTGCTAGTGAGAATCCATTGCCTTTGTCATAGAAAGGGGCATACTATCAAAAACGAATGAAAGTAAAACCGGTTACATAGCAGCGAAAGTTTAAGAACACTTTGTGCAGCATTTGAAATGAATTATGAGGCATTCCTAACTTTATTGATTGGGGGAGTGGGAGGGGGGGGGGGGGGGGGGAGTTTGCCAAAAGATTCAATCCAATTGAAATATTCATAAGATTGACGCCAGGGTGTGCGATAAACTTACACCCACATGGTGCACCCTGGGCAACGTATACTCATACGGCAAAAAAGTCTATTAACCGGCATTTGACTTCTGATTTCAAACTACTACGACCCCCCTGGTTGTCATATTCGACTATTTCCGCAGTACTCACCTTACCTTTTTCTCTACCTTTGTGTCTCTCCGCCTCTTTTACATCTGTGAATCGCTCTTCTGTTCCCCACCCCTCGACTTTCTGCTACTTTGATGAACCTTCCCTCTGTGAAGCCCGAAGTCAGTTAAATGGCTAATGATATCTATCAAAACGCCTGCCATTTGAAATAAATATAGATTGACACCATTCGGTCCCAAACGATTGTGAAATTAATTTCATTTACTGCCTTGATAGCCTTTCGATTCGAGAAGTGAAACCTAGAAAGACACAATTCAATAAATTTTAAGCCTCTCAAAAACCGTGTAGTTCGAACTCCCAGTCAAAGGTGGGATGGAGGGGGGGGGGGGAAGTGGGCAGGTACATTAATGTTACCGACAATCATGGAAGATCAGTATTAATAACACTGATGGGGTCAATTTAATCCTATTAGATGAGTCATACTTGTCCAGAATTCAAACATATTTCTAGATGATTATCATAGAGCTGATTACTTTTTAAATAAATTAATAAATTTAGAGAATAATTAAATTCAAAATCTATGGGTCCTTGCTTTATCATTTGCTGCGTACTTCATTCATACCAACCTCAAGGTTCTGTTAACCAATCCTGGCAAAATTCTGTTTACCAATGTGCATGAAAGTTAGCTCTATGATGCATGAGTGGGTGCTTCAAACAACACAGGCAGAAAGTCACATTTAATTTTAACCAAATATTTTTAGTTACCCTCACTCCATGTTCATTTACATCTTTGAAAATATCCGTAGAACTTTAAAAATTTTTATCTAAGCCTCAGCGACGTTCAAATTCGTGACCTCTTAATTAGGGATTATTGATTCGCAAGTGCTCAAAGTCTGAATGTTTTTGTCTCTTTGCCTTCATCGCGTCTTGTTAAATTTTTTTAAGATAGTAATTGTGTTATAATGAACTGTCGATCACATGGCCAACCCAATTGCGAGACACGGAGGCCTGTCATCGCGTATATAGTTAACTTACGTTATCACTGGATCCTTAGGATTTTGTTACCTAATTCCCATTTTCCCTGTCTATTAATTAAAAAGCAACAGTTAACTTATACTGCTAGAGTTAGGTGTGTAAGTAGTGGATTATCAAATGAGCTGATGCTTGCTATCTGCCATAAAAATTTTCATGAATTTTCTCCAATTCAGCTACTTCTTCGCATTCATTAGCAAACTGCTAAAACTGTCAGATAGAGAGAAAAGTTGAGTGCATACTGTGTAAGTTCTGACAACCTTTCAACTCGTGTGGAAGTAAAATATAAATTTTTGAAAAGAGACAATTTTACAATTTAGAGTCAAATAAAGTCCCACATCAGTTTGAAACAAACACCCATTGGTGCTTCTATTTAAAACAAAGGAATAGTAATTCTCATTAGATGAATGAAATGATCAGCGAAAAAGTCATATCCAATAAGTGGATCTCAAGCTATGAGATCTTTATTTAGAGTAACCCGAATTTCTTTTGAAATTGAGTCGTGTTTGAAGTTGTTTGATTTTATGTTCGAATTCTCACACCTGTTTACAAACTATTTACATTAAAGAGAACTTCCAGCTTCAAGAATCTTATAAACAGTATTAGTCAAAAGCGAAATTCTCAACCCCATAGATACCACTCAGTTCCGCTCATCATTATTTTAATATTTTGATTTAAGGAACTAACACGAATAAGCGGAATCATGGCATTAAATTATAAGTTTTTCTTTGTATGAATTCAAAATTTGATTGGATTTAAATTGGTTTCGGGTAATACTGCGAGACGCCATGGTGACTCCTGCCCGCCACATCACTTGGTTTGTATAAATTGCCGATTGGACCCCTCAAGCAGTTAGTAATATAACCAATGACCTCGTTAATAACGATATGGCCAAAATAGAGGATTGCGTAAGCAGAGATAATTCAGTCACCTAGGGAACATCCCACACTATTCTATAACTCCGGCCAAGCCCGTGGACCGAGGGATTTGTAAGCCAAGACTGACTTGTAGAGACAGACATGAAGTGACTAGACTGGCAAAAGGGGTCGAAATTAGTCTTCCCATAACAATGCATCACAGATCGCAACACGCTTACAATTAATATATATATATATATATATATATATATATAGACTAGGAAAATGAAGACATTAAAAAATTGGACTGACTTTTATAACTCCAACTTTGATTGTCCTTCCAACGATTGTGCTATTGATATTTTGCAGGCTCAGTCGTTTTTCCCTATTTCTGATCCAACTGCCTATCTAAAGGATATTAAGAATAAAAGAGGGAATTAATTCACTGGCTGTATAAATGGTTGAGTGTATATGAATCTTTTTACGAACCCCAATATTAGTATTCTTTGAACAGTCAAAAATCGCTACTGATTCAACAGGGTTGGTCGTTGGCCTGGTTGAAGTGAATCGTATTCGAGAGAGGATGTAGTCACCAGACTGTGCGAAAAGGGAGAAATTTATATGATCTACACCCTAATGGGTAACGCTTATACTACTAATACACACCATCTCACTTCCGTTCTTCGTAATGTAAGTCAACCCGTCAAGATAGAGTGCCGCGGCCCTCCAGTTAGTTTCGTAAAATGAGGAAGGTGTTTCCGGAGCATAGGTTGTGCTCAAAGCGAATGTAATGAGGGAAGCTCCTGTTTGAAGATAGTCGGCGTAAGCTTGGCAACCTAAGACCTTCATTAAAAAACAGCAACAAATCTGTCAATCAATAGCTTTGTCAGATTAGGCAAGTATTAGCTCGTTTCAGCCTAGCCATCAAAGGAAATAAAATATTCTGAAATAGTATAACCCCCTACCCACCCACCCGCCTTCAATAAACAAATTTTCTTCCTCTACACGCAGGTCTCTATTTATACATCAACCGGGGGGTCCAGCAGTGAATTGTGTTTACTGCTAAAAAAAGTTAATATAATTGCTCTTAGCTGTAAAGAGATGTGGCATGACTAAACTTCCGAATGAACTCGACGGTTAACGAGCATTGAGTTCAATAGATATTTATTTATAGCAGATGGCGGGCTTTATGATATTTATCATCAGTCCCTTAATTGATTTCGTGCTTCATAGAGAGGAGGAACATACATATATATATATAAGCTTTATATTAGTTATAATTAGCCCATTAGTTGTCTTCTAACTTCCCAGTATCTCTGGGTTTTCGTCGTTGTCTTTAGCGCTGGACACCGTATCACCATTGAGTTGAATAGACATAGTCTCTCAAATAAATTTTTTTTCAAATGATGAGGATTAAGCATTGCGATGCCATAAAGTGAACTCTCCCCAATTCAAATGAAGTGGGACTTGCAATGCCCTGTCTCTATAGGCTTCTTATTGTCCAACCCTCATTGGAAATTCCATTTGCTTGTATACCCTATCAGAACAAGAAGTTTTAAAACTTTTGGCAATACATAAATCTTATCACGAACTAAGATTTATTGCAGTTTAGAATACAATTGATTTTAAAGCCTTAGAGCAACTATTAGAAAATGTGAAGCAGAATTTGTCCTTCAATCCACGAAAAGATGTAATTAAATCTGAATTTTCAGATATTGGACGAGGATATTCCTATCATGCAAATTGTAAACAAACCATGTTGAATAAAGGGAATAAAATAAGGCTATCTTATTATCGCAATTTTACTCTCAGTTTTTTTCCGCGTCCCTTCCACTTAGATCAGCATCGGATCTTAGTACTTTTGGACAAGTTCAGATGGTTTTCACGAAATAGACGATGAAACTCCTCACTTTGATCTGGGTTATAATACAGTCATATAACTTCGGCTTATTTCAAGGATCAGCATATGTTCTATTGGATATGCGAGTGGATGCTTGTTCACGTGAAATTCGGAAGGGTGAGGGGGGGGGAGTGGGTTCTTTGTATATTACGAATTGAGAAAACTTCTAGATCCTATCCAGAACTCAAAGTACTAGTGTGTTGGCATTTTCATGCTCCTTTTATTTATCCTCAGCTCTTGCTAACTGCCCTTCCTTTGCAATTCATCAATTTACCGACGGCATCTGTTCAGAAGCACACTAAGCTTGGTCTAGACTTTGAAGACCAGTTAGGAGGTATAAAAATCTCCAAGTCACTTGAGGAGTTAAGAATTATAACCACCGAGGAAACTTATCATCCATTCATCATTCATACTCCTCATATTTCTATCATGCGCTTTACAGACTCTATGCCATTTCATATTAATTTGCTTTATCTGTAAATTGGAAACTTAACCCCTGGATGTGTATGAAAGCTCATGGAAACAAAAAAGAGCTTAGACAATAAGCGGATATGCAATCCTTCTACTTTGCGGAGGAAATATCGGATGGCTGAAGTAAGACAGAGAGCTCTCAAGACGCCGTCTGCGGTGACCATTCAGACTGAAAATACTATCGCAGTGTGTAATCCTCATGTTTACTTACGGTCTTTTTTCACTCCAGCGTATTTATTTAACTTCGAACTTAGCAAATGAAGAGCGGGGTTTTTTCAGGATTCCCTTCATTTCCATAGTTTACCTTCTCAATCGCTGAGCGGCCTACTTCCATGGTAGTAGTCTTAAGAATAGGAAATCAACAGTATCAAATTTGGTAGATACTATAGTGATTTAAGGCTAAGCAAGGATTAAAATGAATTTGATCCAGTTTTTCCTATTTATACATTTGGATGGTGGACAACTGTGCGTTACAGGAACCTTACTTATATCGCTCACATTTACCTCATCGTTTAATAGTTTGGGGACTATTCAGGAAACAATTTCTCTAATCTTGAAACAGGCAAAATGTTAATTGAATTTAACTTACTGTAGAGAAATCAATAATCCGAATCCCTGGTCTTAACTGTTGGTTTAGAAGAGCCTAAAATATGGAAAAAGGCATCGAATTTGCCAGAATTCTATTTATTTTGTGAAATAATAAAGGGGGAGTTTAATGAGAATATAATTACAAAAAGCCTCCTGCTATTAATTTTACTGACTTCAGGCATAATCAGCCATTTTTGAACAGCGTAGTCTCTAGAACGCATCAGTGCTCTTATGGAATATTAATAAATAAGTACTGAACCCACTATTATGATAGAACGACACAAATTTATATATACTGGCAATTCCTAATTCATGGTTTGATAACGGCACATAATGAATTTGCAATTATAGCATGCATGCAGAATAAGACCGAATATGCTTAGAATTAGTCTATAAGAATGAAAATTTGAATTAAAATATATGTTATAGAGCTATAAATAAAAATGAGCTTGGTCGATTTAGAATGACCTAAAAGAAAAGGAACAAGAGGTCTTAATGAAAGGTCTAGTCAAATTGACAAGACTATGGGGATTTATAGCATAACGAACCACCCCCCCCTTAGTGGTTGGGGGGTGGGGGCAGAGCACATATCAGAAAGCTCAACACAATAGTGGTTGAATTAAGGATTCATAGAGAATAATTCTCATTTTAAATCATGTCGTTCGAAACTTCTAAGGGGTAAAATTTCTATTGGCAGCTAGAATCTTGTACTCATTTCAATTAAACAAAAAGTGCCACTGAAAAAAATAATTTCTATTTCTTTTACAACTTATATAAGTCCATACATTAAGCATATGCGCCAATTTTATAAAGTGGAAACCAAGGTGAGTGCTGTGAATCATTTTCTTAAATGCACATCAGATGCATGATCTACAGCTTTGTTGAAGATTTGTTCTAGATGAGCAGGACGCCTCCAAATCATCTGATATTCTTATCAATTTTCGGCGAACACAGTCCACACATCCTGGAAGTCAGCCTGACTGAAGCTTTTTCTTCATATGTTGAACTAACACATGACCATGAAGTAGATGGCAATGATTTCCAAATCTCTTTATGTTCTTTACCAAGTAGTTGGTGTTTCTTGGTAGAAGAGAAGTTTTTTTATTTTCTTTACGAAAAACATTGCTTCTGAATCAATTGTAGCTCCTCCTTCTGCATAAAAAATAATAATTAAAGACGCGCCGAATTTATTTGATTTTATGTTAGAAATTAAACTTCCTTCAATTATAGCAAATCTTTGTCTGTCAGAATTTATACGAAAAACTACTCTTAGACCACTTGCTTAAACGATAAAACTACGCCTGTACCATAAGGACTCAAGTAAAGCCAAACAGTGGGAAAGTGCTATTGACTAAGCTCACTTCGAGCGTAATTCAATGAATTGTCCAGTGATAAAATTTAATTGCAAACTTATTTACCTACTCATAGCTGTAAAGTAGTATTTCCAGGGGCTCTTTTAAATCAACTTGCTAACAAATTCTGAACCTTGTGGACATGCACACATCCAAGAGTCCGGAGGCAAGGTTTATGATCATTAAAATGTGAATAAAAATGTTATAATTCAGGTCATGTAGAATTCAAATGAAGTGAGACAATGACTATCATGACTGCATTGCAAAATCTATTTAACAATCGAATAGTTTTATCCATGAGTGAAATAATTTAAACCCTGCCAGACAACAACTTTGCGTGCAATCAATTTTTTTAAAAGCTTCATATCGAATTTTGTTACATTTTACTTCAACAAGACCACATCCAGTTTTAATCTGAAATCTATTGTATAGTATGGTTTTAATTAAAAATTATTTCAACGCAAATTCAAGTCGAGATCCACCTAAATGACATTAAAATTATGTGTTTGAATCTAATCTTTATTTAAATAGAACTTAAATTTTCTTACAGATTACACCATAACAAAATTAGTAGTTGATTTAAACTCGTCGATTGATTTTAAATATAAACATAAACATATAAATTGTTTATTGCTTAAAATAAGAACTTACTAGCCTAAGAAATTTTTGGGAATAATCAAAGTTTGTTTCAGGTCGGAATAGCAAAACGTATGTGTGCGAAGTTCCTGCACTTTTGAAAATGTTAACCAACATTTTCACCGCACTTTCATCGTTCATCCGATCATCTTTCAATTGGAGCACATTGAATTCGATATTCTCAATCGAGTGGATGAGAAAGAATAATTCTAAAAAATAGGATGAATGTATTTTATCAGATATTCAAGTATTTATTTATTTATTTATCTCAAATGGCAGGCATTTTGATAGTT